CCCACCCACCCCAGGGACCCAGCTTTTTAAGTCTCCTTTATTTCAATACCCACTTCTTATTTCTTCCATTTTCCCCCCGACATCCCACTTTTATAACTTTTTCTCTCAAACCCCATTTTATCTGTGTTGTCCAGGCCCCTGATGCATCTGCTCTGCCCAGGGGTGTCTTCCCGCTGTCCCCTTCCTAATTCCATTCCCAGGACTCCCAGCCAGCTCAGGTATAGTGTGGGCACAGGGAGGGGCCTGGCCACCCCCCCAACACACACATCAGGTGGATGCCATCCAGGCCTGTCCCACCACTCCAGCATCTCCCTAGTGATGGGGTAGGGCTGGCCCCCCCTCCCTCTTGGACTGGATGATAGGAGATAGATAGCATGTCATTAGTGATGATGTGGCCTAATTATAGCCTGCTGCACAGCCTAGTTTGTTTATTTTACAAATGGGCAGAGGAAGAGGCAGATCAGGCATCAAACTCCACAGTCATGATCAAAAGATTAAGGGATTCCCCCCCACCCCAGCCTCTCTGTTTTCCCTTGAGAAGGAATCATACAATAAAGCAAGTTAGGGATCAGGAAATACCTTGCACACTTTTTCCAGAGTAAATGGGGGTGGGTGGGGGGCCTGAAATAAGAATACGAATGAAACAATGCCTGACCGGGGATCGGGTGGTGTTTTGAAATGGGCGAAGGGAAGAAATCTCATCTTTCCTCAGCAAGACAGTGCTTGCCCAGACATACCTGAGTGTGCTTAAGCTGAGAGGGAGAAACTTGTGATGACTGGGTAGGTGGTGGGTGGAGTTGCAAGGGTTCAGAGAGCTTTTCTTTTAAAAACAGGAGTTCTTTTAACAAAGAGGACTGAAGAGTGCTTGGTTACAGTAAAGGCCAGGGGCCTGTCTAGTCATAAAGGCTGTGGGAGTAGGAACGTGAGTAGGAAGAGAGAAATGAGCATGGTGAGGACCAGGCCAGCGTTTGCAGACAGCAAGGACACTTGGGCTGGGAAAATGAAACCTAGTCCACAGATCTTCAAACCGGGGGTAGGCTGGGCAGGTGGGGCTCCTGGTAGACAGAACATTGGTGAGCTGGGAGCTGGGGACCTCATTTTCCTCCAGAGCCTCAGGGAGGAGAAGACCCAGGGCCTTGGGAAACGAGCTCAGGCTGCCATGTAAACATGGGTGAGAACTCAGAGGAGCCAAGAGATACTGGTGACCCTCTTTGGGCAGCAGGAGGAATTCAGACCAGAGGCTCCGACTCAAGCCTGTCCCTGGGATTTGGCCAGGGGCTGCCCTGGAGGTACACGCTGGTTGTGTCTAGCCCTAGGGTATGCTGAGAGGCAAGTGGGGTTCCATCTAGTCTTGCACCCTGGCAAAGGACTACGTCTGTACCTCTTCATCATGGAAGACAAGGTGATGTACAAGCAAAGTGGGACATGTGGTCCTGAGCTGGGCTGCGCAGAGCAGGGAGGGGAGAGCAGGGCAGGCACTTGACTTGGAGATGGTGTTTGCTTACCCCAGGAGAGAGATAGAGAGTTCCATGAGACCAGCAGGTAGGGAAAGCTGCCAGGTCTCAGGTCACTGACACTCTCTGTTACATTGTCAGAGAGACTCTTTGTGTTGTACACTAATGTGGCTTCAAGAAATGGGCACCTTGACTGTAGTGTCCGTTGTCTGGGATGCCACTCAGCATTGTTCTTGAAAGGAGTAGACAGTAAGTATGAGTGCAACTAAGTTTAAGTGGATGCCGCCAGCCACCTGTTGCCTGAATAATCAGAAGAAACCATGTCAATCCAGGAAGTGTAGGGGTGGGGAGATGGATAGACACCAGGGAATGGTTTGAGTGTTGGCTTTTGACAATCTTGGAGAGATGTGACTTCTATAGTCCCTAAGAATGACTGGGAAACATGGTACTCTGCTCTCTCCAATATGACTATGGTGCTCAGGTGATCAACCATCCCAGAATTGCTCAGGTGGTAGCCCTAAAGTCTGAAGTCCTGGACAAGCCCTCAACCCAGTGGTATTGAGGTACTACCAACCACACACACTAGTATTGCCACCATTGCTACTGCTTCTGTAGGTAATTCTGCAACCCTTGATACTCTAAGCCAGCCCCTGTGATGAGTGCTGTAGGGGATATAAGCCAAGTCTTCTGTGGGTGCCTAAAAATCTCCATGTTAGTCACATTCCCATTGCAGCAATGAAATGTCTGACACCCATAATGTAAAGGATGAGAAGTTTATTTTGGCTTGCAGTTTCAGAAGGTTCAGTTCATGGTAAGCAAACTCTAAGGTAAAAACAGCATGGAGAAAGGACATGGCAGAGGAGACCTGCTCATGCCGTGGTGGCCAAGACGCAGAGAGAGAAGGGAGGAGTCAGGGACAAGAATAATGTAGTCCTTCCAGGTCACACCCCAGGCCCACCCTTTCAAACAAGCCCTACTTTGTAAAGCATAATCACCTGTGAACTCATGCATGGAGTAGTCCACTGATGAGTATAGCCCTCCTCTCCCACGATCTAGTGACTTCCAAAAGGCTCACCTCTGAACATGAGACTTTTGGGGAACATTTTAGTCCTAAACCATAGCAACCCTCATCAAAATTAGCCACCCCCTAAGGATAACTCTGTCCCATTGCCACCAATGCTCTTTTGTTACTCTGAAGCTTTGGCCTTGGATTCAGTTTGTGGTTTGGGTACCTCTCACTGGTCTGCAGACTCACGGGGGATTGGGGGCATATGTCCATCACCTCCAGGCCAAGGAACTTAAAACATCATTTGTAGACCATTCTCACATTAGGAAGCAGGTAAAGCCGGTATTGGCCATGTGGGAGGGGAGGACCCCAATTAACTGTCTACCTGCTGTTGCCCTTTGCAATCTGGTTTAGAAAACCACAAGTCATTACTTCTACTATATCCTCCCATTCCCTGGGGCCAGACCTTGCCAAGAAGGCTGGGAGGAGGGACCCCTGGAGAAGGAGGTGCCCACCACTGCCCAGAAGGCTGAGGAAAGCACCTGTGATGGAGCCACTGTCTGAGGCAGGTTCCAGCTTTGCCCCATCTCTCCAACTGTTCATCCTCCTCTTCCCCAAACCCCAGCAGTAGAAGCAACTGTTTAGTCCCCTCTACCGGATACAAACAGATCAGGGCTCCTTAATGTGGTTATAGCTAGTGATAAATGTTCTTTACTAGGGCAGCTACCAGATACCTAGTTTTGAGATAATTTTTTAACATTTGACTCTACCAGGAATACCTGAGCTGTGAAATGCTGAGATTTCCTGATCCCAGAAGTGATGGGGGAATTTTGCAGAACAAATTTGATCCCAGTAGTGAGAATTAGGGGTTCCTGTATCTGACTAACTTCAGCCAGGGGTGTTTCTACATAGAGATGAGCTAAGTACAATTCCTGTCTAGCCTCCCAGGACGGGACAGTTTCATTCTAGAGAGAAAATTCAAGTGGAAAAAAGGCCAGCTTCTTGAAAGAGTTCTCACTGTTAAAAAGATAACTTCAAGGTCATCACAAGGCAGGTCCTCTTAGCAATATATCTGTTAGCCCTGGGCAATATCTCTGCAGGGGGACATTCAGATGCTGTGTGCTCATTTACACCCTCTTTTTTGGTATCCATTCCACACTGGTCAGCTGTGCTCTTTAGCATGACCCAGAAAGTGGCCCCCTGGACCTTGTTTCTGGATCCAGATCTTTGAGAACATCTTTTAAGAAGAACTGTTTCCTTTCCAAGTATTCTCTAGCATCAGCACCCCAGCTCCTTATCAAGACTGGATACCAGGGGTATAGGTCCTTTGGGGAAGAAGCCTGGGGTGTTCAGATGAGCCCTCCTTGAGTAAAGGCAGGTATTTCCCCTGCTCCTTGTTGATAAGTAAAGAGGAGGCAACGTTGGAAAAATAAAGCAGTGAGATCTTTGCAGTGGATAGTATGGCAGGTCCCTAATTAGGAAGCACAGATAAATTCCAAATCAGACAAGTCTAGTATGCAAGGGCAGCATATTCTATCTGCTATCAGGAGGCCTTCCTTGCTGCAGAGAGCTTGAAGATCTCTGTTGTGCAGATTGTCCCTGGCCCGCAGCCCTTCAGCAGGGCCAGGAGATAACGTAGAGAAAGACACCTTGTTCCGGTGTCCAGGGCTCAGCAGGGATAAAAGGAGGCAGCATTCTGACTCTTACAGACTTGCACTCTCCAGCCCTGAGTGACTGCATTTCTCTAGCTCTGCCAGTTCCATTTTACCACCATGAGTTGGCAACTGAACATCAACTCCCGTGGTGACAAAGGCAACTTCGATGTGCATGCTGCAGTGACGCCAAGGAAGGTTATGGGTGGTGTGGCCTCTTACCACGCCACTGGCCAAGGGAGTGGGGCTGGCTTCAGCAGCCGGAACCTCTACAGTCTTGGGGGGAATCGGCATAATTCCTTCAATGTGGCTGACAGTGGTGTTTGGGGTGGTAGCTTTGAGCATGGCACTTAGTATGGAGGCAACCCAGCCAGAGGCTTTGCTGGCAGCATGTTTGGCAATGTAGCCCTGGGACCTGGGTGTCTATCTGTGTGCCCACCTAGAAGTATCCACCAAGTCACTGTTAACAAGAACCTCCTGGCTCGCCTCAATGTGGAGCTGGATCCTGAGATCCAGAAAGTGCATGTCCAAGAGTGGGAGCAGATCAAGACTCTGAATGACAAGTTTGCTTCCTTCATTGACAAGGTGGGTCTCTAAGAGGAGGAAAAGGCAAGCCAATGGGATAGGAGCAGTCTCCCTGCTCCCTTGGCATGGGCTGGGCAATGTGTATTTTGAGGTGTGGCTGGGTTTCTGGAAGGGCTCTCTTGTCATAAGGGGGGAGGTCTAATTTGCAAGATAAGTAGAATACAGGAATAAATAAATGGGTTTCAGTTTCTGGGTATTTTACATGGCAGGATAGGAAACTGGGTAGACGATAGCTCTTTTTTATGAAAGAAGTCACAGGCTTCTGGAGGACATCTGGTTAGATCTCTATCTTCCTACAGAACATGCAGTACTGATAGAAGGATAAGCTCAGCACAGAAAGAAACACAGCTGAGACATAAAAGAGAACATCTCCTGGGACCAGGGTCAGGCAATGGAAGACAGTTGTGAAGTCTGCCTCTTGGTGAGGTTTTAGAAAGTTAGAGGACGAGCACTTGTACAGGGTTTCATCGGTAGCAGATGTCAAGGGTAGAGCATCAGAAGTTGAGCCAAATAACGAAGGAAATCCATTTAGCCTGGGGAGTCAGTGGTGCATTCCATGGGGCGTGATGACATTGATGTTCCAGGTGGCTGTTGGTTTGGTTTCCAGGTGCGCTTCCTGGAGCAGCAAAACCAGGTGCTACAGACCAAGTGAAAGCTGCTGCAACAGCTGGACCTGAACAACTGCAGGAAGAACCTGGAGCCCATTTATGAGGGCTGCATTAGCAGCCTGTGGAAGCAACTGGGGATACTGTCTGGTGACAAGGTGAGGCTGGAATGAGCTCAGGAGCATGAGGGATGTGGTGGAGGATTACAAGAAGAGGTGAGCATACTCCATCAAAGGATCACTAGTCATCTATATGATCTCTCAGCCATAAATTAGAAGAGCATGGAGCAAGTTCCAGAGTGAAGAGCTCAGGTCCCCTTCTCTAGGTATGGGGGAAAGGTCCACTCTACTTGATGAGAATCTCCTACTTTGTTGATAAGTAGGAGCTCCTCTGCTCACTGACCCACTAAGCATTTCAGCTGCTGGTTTGGGATGTCTTGTAGGTATCTGAATACTTTCCTAGGGTGTAGGGAGTAGATTATAGTGAGATAAGTCAGGGACTTCTGACTCCTGCTACTGGGTCTCAGATCTCACCCCAAGGGGACCACATTGGGCATTCTGCAGCCTGAGTGCTTGCCCAGCCAGCAGGAAGAGCATACTTGACCTAGGGAGCTGACACCTCTTGCCATGTTCTCTCCCCACCCACAGATATGAGATGGAGATTAGCCAGCTCGCAGAGGCCGAGAATGAATTTGTGGTGCTCAAGAAGGTAAGGAGAGAAGAATCTCTTCACATCCCCGCCTTAAACAACTCTGCACAGCACTTCAGCCCAGGCCAACAGGTGGGACCTGGTGCCTGGAGGTGGATGGCACCATGGTGTTGGTCTCTCGTGAGTTAGAGAGAAAGGACACATACCTAGGAAATGGACAGAGACAAACAGGAGAGAATTCTGGTGTGGGATTTGTGACATCCTGATTAAACCTCACCTTTCTGTGTAACATAAAGAGCATCAGTACCTTTTTGGGCTGGTGTTCTCCAGGTATAATAGAAGAACAGTCCCTATTCTCCTTTTGCTATTCCCAAAGATTCAGTGAGTCTGAGAGAAAATTGATGTTGAAGGACTGTTCACCAATACCCTTCCATCTGTGGGCAAAACCAGCAAGGCAGGTGGCTTTAGGGCTAGGGGTCGGGGCAGGGCAGCTCATGGGAGGAGGGTCAGTGGACTAATGGTGGTTGTTGCATCTTGGCAGAATACAGATGTGGCCTACACAGCCAGGGTGGAACTTGAGGCCAAGGCGGACTCTCTGGACAAAGACATAAAATTCCTTAAGTGTCTATATGATGCGGTGAGGACCCTTCTATTCCCCATTCTTTTACCTTTTTCTATCCAAGGGCTTCAGCTGACTTACACAGGGGGGAAGCCAACAGGAAGGACTTATGGATGACACAGGAGAAGATGTTTAAATGGAAAAGTGAAAATCCTGGCCCTAGCTGAGCATGGAAACCTAGGATTTTGTCCTTGGAGGCCACATATACAGGGCATAATTGATCTGGGCCATGATAGAAGGTTTGCTCATAGGCAGGGTAAAATGACCCCATGAGGTCCTACTGAAGCACAGCTTCTTGGGTCTTGTGGAGCTGCAGGGAATGTCTTCCTCCTCCCGCTGAGCACCTCCCACTGCCTTCCTGAGATCTAACTCCAGTGGATCACTGGCCTAGAGAACTGATAGGGCCAATCAGGGGAGCTTGGGCCAGACTGTCTTCATCTCTCCACTCAGGAGATCACCCAACTCCAGACTCATACTGGTGAGACCTCTGTTATCCTCTCCATGGACAATAACCAGCACCCAGACCTGGACAGTATCATCACTGAGGTCCGCACTCACTATGAGGATATTGCCCAGAGGAGCAAGACTGAGGCTGAGGCACTGTACCAGATCAAGGTGGGCATGGGATGAGTCTCCTTTCTCCCTGGGGAGGGTCACCAGGAAGTGTGAGAGATACTGCTGCAGATGTGCTGAGTGAAAGTACTTCTCAACAGGGAGTGTTATTAAAGATAAATCAGAAAACTGCTATGGATGGCCATATCCAGAAGAGAGGGAGAGACAGGCGATCCTCTGAGGGAGGTGAGAAATGAAGTGTTTCCATTGTAAAACAAGGCACTCACAGGAATAGAGGCAAGCTGCCTGAGGGCAGGACCATCACATACAAAGGCAGGGTAGCTATGGGTGAACTGAGGTTGGGTGGGGATCACGAGGGAAGTGCTGATCTCTTTTCTGATGGGTGTGGGGAGACTTCCAAGACAGTAGAATTCTGCAGTGTTCTTAGCAATGGAGTTAGGCTTTAGGGGAAGACCCTCTAGGGGATAGTCAGGTAGGAAACCCTTTACCTGGGCATTCTCTAGGGACCCTGAGCCCTTCTTTTCACATTTGTTAGATCCATCTATGTCACCTTTCCATCTCAGGTATTTTGGGAAAAAAATGAATTTAGAAGGAAAAAAAGATGTATTTTGACTCACAGTTTCAGAGGTTTCAGTCCATGGTTGCTTGGCTGAGTTGCTTGGGCCTGAGGTGGCACAGTACATCATGATGGAAGTATATGGTAAAGGAGGCTTCTCACCTCATAATGGCCAGGAGCAGAGAGAAAGAGGAAGGGGTAGAGCCTTAGTATCCCCCTCACGGCCACACCCCAAGTTACCTAACTTCCCTCTATTAGGCTTGACCTCCTGAAAATTCCACAACCTCCCAATAGTGCCAAGTTGAAGACCAATTATGAACACACAAACCTTCAGGGGGACATTCCACATCCAAACTGTAACACTACCAACAGGCAGGATAGTGGGTATTTCACCCTCACTATTTCTCCTATCCCTTGTTCCTTACCCATTGCCACACCATTTCTTCTTTTCCAAGGGATTAAACACATGGAAAGGAGAAGCCACCAATCCTATCAATCCTTCCCACAACCTTCTGCCCCCATGGGTACACAGGACCTTGGGCTTCCCTCCTCTCTGCTTGTGACCAAGAAAGTGCCACAGGAGAATGCAAGTGAGGAGAGGGGTGATCTCACCTATCTTGTCACTACTAGATCCCCATACCTGTGGGACTGAAGTGGGCATTTAGAAGATGCCTCTGTATGTGATAAATGAAAAAGAGATTGCCAGATCTTTGCTTACATTGAAGCCTGCTTGACAAACGTGACCTGCAACTTTTGCTACTCAGCCCAGGGGCTGAGACAAGAGAGAGGGCAGACAGATTGCAGACCAGGGGCTGAGACAAGAGAGAGGGCAGACAGATTCTGCTTAGAGAACACAGTAGACTTCTTGGTCTGAACTGGAAGGGCACCCAGTACTGGCTCTACCACTTCCTGCTGTGGTCCCCTGGCTCACTCGGCTGTGGAAGCATCTGCTCAGGACTTCTCCATACCTTGTCTCATCACCTACCACCTTCTCACCTCTACAAAACTAGATTCAGTAGCTGCAGCTAGCAGTTGGCTGGCATGGAGATGACCTCAAACATACCAGAAACGAGATGTTACAGGTAAATTGGCTCATCCAGAAGATTTGCTGTGACATCACCAGCATGGAGAAGCAAGTGAGCCATGACCTCATGGAGAGGGCTGAGACTCAGTTTCCTCTTCTGTAATAGGTATGCTGGGATGCACCTTTTGGGAAGAAGCAAGTCTCCCCTCCTGGGCATAGGCATCTCTGTGGGCTACCCACAGTCCCCCTTCCACTTCCTGCCTTGTTGCCCTACCAGAGTTAGGAAGACTCAAGCCTATTCTCTGGATTCCCCAGAGAATACAGGTAGGGCACATGGGCTGGAGAGGGGAAGTGATTTGCCTAAGGCCACTAGATGGTCATTAACAGGGTCAACATTTGAACCCCATGTCCTCTTGCTCAGACTTTTTCTCTGTCTAACAAATGTGGTCTACATCCCTAGAGATGTGCCTCTTGGAGAGCAGATCTCATGTCTCCTCCTCCTGCTGGCCATGAAATGTGTGTGTGTGTGTGTGTGTGTGTGTGTGTGTGTGTGTGTGTGAGCGTTCATGCATGTGCACGTGTACATGGGGCATGTGTTAGGGTCCTCTACTGTCATCCCTTTCCCTCATGTTGCAATACAGTCCTGGCAATGAAGTGTCACAATAACAGATGATGCTCTTGTGTTCCCCTGTCTTGTGTGATGGGACCACCTCCATTTATACATATCTTACCTGAAAGCAGCAAATCCAATACTGCGTCAGTGGGGAGTGAGTTTAGATTCTAAAGGATCCTTCTTGGGACCTCCCAAAGGAAAAGGTCAACCTTGCCAGTGAGGGAACTTCTAAATCAGCAATTCTCCTTCCTGTGCCCCACAATGCCCAAGCAGCATGGGGGTGGGTCACAGGGATGGCACTAAGACTCCATGAAGACTGCTCCCCCCACCCCCAAGTATTTAGCATCATAGTCCCCCGGGGTGTTCATCAGAGTTCAGTTTCTGAGGTTGTAGCTATAAGTAGATTCTTTCTAGGGGAAGGCTCCCTCCCCCTTTTAGGCCAGATATGGACGATTATCAGATCCTCCTGCAGTGTGCTGAAAGAATCCAGACACACTTCCTCTTGGTGCTAACAGGGAAGAAGTCTCCCTTCTGGAGAGATAGCCTGCAGCAGAAATCCACCACTGTGAGACCCTTGGCATGCTGTTTGATCCTTAGGGGTGGTCTGGCTGGAGTCTTGGACACAGTTCTCCTGGATCTGGTGTACTTGAACCTAGCATCACTGGTGACCCCAACCCCAGGCACTAGAGAGCTTTGCAAGCATTGAAGTTTTTTCTGATCTCCTGAAATGGAAATGTTCCATAGCTTCTTATGCCAGCTTTTAAAATATTCACCTGCAATGGAACACAGAGGACCCTCAAGTTCTGGTGTTGGCTTTGTAGCTCTTACAGAAATCTTGAATCTCATGTGCAAAGTGAGGGAGTTATGCTATCTAACTTGTATGTTCAAAACATTATTTTATGTTGTACCTCCTTGTTCTCTGTTCCTTAGTGCTCCAACCTGGAGATAGCTATCACCGATGACGAACAGAGGGGACAGTGCTGTCAAGGATGCCTGGGTCAAACTGGATGAGCTGGAGGGTGCCCTGCACCAGGCTAAGGATGAGCTGGCCCGGCTGCTGCGTGAGTACCAGGAACTCATGAGCCTGAAGCTGGCCCTGGACATGGAGATCACCACCTACCTCAGGCTGCTGGAGGGCGAGGAGTGCAGGTGAGGGGTGGGGAGAGCACTGTGTGCGAAGGCAGAAGGGGCTATAGGTGCCCCCATCTGGCTGAGGGGCCACTAGGAGCTGAGAAAGGAGAAACAACAGCATTGGTGATACCAGGAGGGAGGGAGACAGTGGTGTGACAGGTGAACTCAGCCGCAGCCTCCTGCAAGGGATGTCAGAGATGAGCTGTGAGCACAGGTGGCTGGATGGTGCCATCAACAGAGCCCATGGAGCCCCGGGCTTAATTACTGCATTTGCCAAATGGTAGCTGCATGGCCCTGGGAAATCATGTAATGTTTCTATTTTTTCATCTGTGAAATGGAGAGTCTAATCTCCCCCTTGTGTTATGAGGCTGGATTGAAATGATGTATGCAAAAGTCAGAGCCTTTGAAAGTTAGCTGAATCTAGACAGTTCCCTGAGGTTTTATCCTGTCATTTTCTGTCTTTCAGGATGTCTGGTGAGAATCCACCCCCTGTGAGCATCTGTGAGTATTCTCAAGGAGATAGTTCGGATAGGGAAAGCCAGGGACTCTGGGACACAGCAATGTCACCTCTACTCACTGTCTCACCTCCCCAGCTGTTTCTACTGCTGCTCTGTGAAGGTTCTCTGGCTTCAGAGGAACCTATTTCACTTTTGTTTCCTGGCAACAGTGACTGAAATTATGCCCACCCCTCTCCTTGCTGTCTTTCCCCTGGGGCACTCACCTAGAGAAATGGTTGGGAATAGGGACTTTTCTAAATTGTCCAGGAAGGCAGGACCTACATTGTCTTCTCCTCATAAACAGTCCGGTAGACAGGGTCTCTGTTACTCTTTGATGTGTTTCTTGGCTGCTGAGGGTTGCCATGGGATTAATTAAGGTACGCTTAGAGACAGCAGTTACCACAAGTTTGTCACCTTTGGTCGATACCTGCCTCTCCTTCCCCTGTTTTTGTCCTTCTTCCTTAGCCATCATTAGCAGCAGTGGCTATGGCTACCACCCCAGCTCCATGAGCACTGACCTTGAGGTCAGCAGTGCAGCCATCAACACTGGCAGCCTCTGAAGTGACCAGCCCAAGACTCAAGAAGCACAAGCAAGAGACCTCAAGGACTCTCAGGTCAAGAGTGTCCCAATCAATGCCCCAGCTGGGAAGACCACCGGATAAGGCCACCTCCTCACTCACCTCAGCACCTGGAAGAAAAGATGTCTTAGCCACTGCCCAAAGATGCCTGCACTCCCAAGTCCTACATCTCTGAATTTTAGGACTGAGCATGATATACTCAGCTCTCCACATCATGGGGTATCTTACATTTAAGTTCTGATTGACAGAGTCACCCTCTCTCATGTCAGCACTTCCTGTGTAGACTTTATGACTTCTCTTTTTCCTTGCTGCCTTCAGCTAGCAAAAGGCTTTGGAAGCACAAGTCATAATCACCTTCTTAGCTTTGAGAAGCTGTCATCATGTCTAGAGAGAGCGAAGGAGAAAAGAGAAGAGAGGATAGGTTTGTTCTTTGTAAAGGTCAAGTTCTCAATTATCTGAGGTATTACTGCACTTGAAAGCATGGCAAGGTGAATCTGAAGCCATGTAACCAGAAAGTGAGATGTTAGACAGCCATTCGCTGTCCCACCAGAGAGGTCTCTGCAGGATGACTCCATTATGGAGAACATGTGTTCATTCTCAGATCACCAGAACCACCCTTATTCACAAAGCAAGCAAAGGAGAATTGGGGATTTTCTGCCATCTTGTGTCAGCTACCCAACCCCTATTTATCATCAATAGCTACTTTCATAATCAAGCACCTACTATGCATCAAGAACTCTATATGCAGTTCCTCCAATTCTCATCCAATCCTGCAAGAAAGGTATAATCCACACCCTTTGGGCAGACAGAGAGCCTGATTCTCTGAGAGCGGCGGAACTTGTCCCAGTTACCCACCTTTGGGCCAGCTCAGGCCTGGCTGACTCTGGGGACCATGCTCTTTCCATGGCATGTCATTGCTTTTTTGGAGAGAGAGTATCAAATTTGTGGTTCTTGATGAGGGCAGCATCATGACATTTTGTCAGGACTGTGGGATGTGATTGATCCTTGGTCTGCTCTCTGGCTGTGTCTTACAGTAGCTTCTCACTCTTAGTTCCTATGGCCACAAGTTAAGTCCAGTGAGCAGACCTGATCTTATCTCTGGTGGTGCCACCCAGCCAGAAGTCATGGTCATGGTGTAAATTTTCCTGGGAATAAATAGCACCATCTCGTCCTTCCCTTGTTAAATTAAGGACTCTGAATTTCTGTTTTATATTCAATAAACTGCCCTTGAGTGGTGTCAGATATGCACTCCTGTCAATCTCTGCAAATGTTCTACCCTGTAATGGTGATGTCTCCCTACCTTGATCCTGCGATGTGCACAGCTTTATGGGCCCTCCGCAAGGAGGCTACTCAGGAGGTGACCTCAGGCTGCAGCAAGAGGTTCACACCCATAGTCCTGCACTTGTGCAAATTGGGGACAAGTGACGTAGGACAGCAGTGCTGAAAAGTGGTGAAACTATGTAAGGGAAGCTTCCTGGAAAAAGAAAAAAAATCAAATAACCAGAAAGATGGGCACCTAGATTCCTAGAGGGAGAGCTTGAATCGTGCTGCCACAGTGGGCATGGGCACAGGTCTTGTGTGCTTATTTATGAGGGGATGGGAAGTCTCTAATTTTTTGAAGCCAGTAGTGGGGCTGGATGGATTTTCAAAGTTGTTGGCTTTTGCCGGCAGAATTTAGCTTTCTAGGTAGCTTTCTGATCAGTTTTGTGTTTCAAATGTGCTCAAGATATTTTCCCCTATGGGTCTCAGGACGACAGGATGGAGCCTTGGGAGGGCATGGCCTTCAATCCCCTCATTGTGCCTTTGCTGTATTAAGAAGTCCTCTTCTGTCTGTACCGTGATGCAATAACCCTCGGGGAACACATAGTCAAGGTGTCTGGTGGACTTTCTGTCCAAATGACTTGTGATATTTCTGCTGTCACTACTGTGAGTGCTGGACTAGTGCCCTGGAAATTACGGATCATCATTGTATCTCTGCCACTAACGAGTCACCTGGTACACTCAGAAGGTTCTTAACTCTGGGGGTCACTGGCCCTTTGGGGATCTGATGAAAGCTATGGGCTCTAGGACCAGGTACCAGGTCCTTGCAGTACCAATGGTCTAATTTAGTAAAATATCAAATTCTTTGTGAATGAGACAGTAAGAGGGCTTTCAGCAAGGGGGTGAAACCTTGAAAGAGCTTTTAGAGGAATATATAAGCCATCAGTAAAGTCACCTCCTCTGAGGCTGTGGTGCAGGCATGACTCTGACTGCCTAATATAGCTGGTGCTGCTGGGCTGGGCGATCCAAGAGCTGTTCCCAAGAGCTGAGTGAGGACACCTTGTGTCCTCTGCTGGGGTGCTGAGGAGGGCAGAGGGGCTGTCTCCCTGGCTGCAGCTTTGCTGCCTGGGAAATGGACAAAGCCTTTGCTGTCTGGGTTCATTTAAGGCCTGAGAAGTGCACCGGAGCCTCTTGGCTCTTGCTTTAAGACAGTTTAGAGAGTCCTCTGAAGCCTAGGATGAGAAATCATGGAGCTAGGAACCAGGGTAGACTGTTAATCTTAACTCCATACATCTGTGTCCATTTCAAAAAGGTGCCAAGATCATTCAATGTGGGAAAGAATAGTCTCTTCAACAAATGGTGTGGAGACAACTGGATATCCATGGGCCAAAGAATGGAGATGGACCCTTCTTCACATACCCTTCTTCACATCATATAAAATACATCAACAGCCAAAATATAATAGCTAGAACCATAAAATTCTTAGAAGAAAATATAGGGAAAAATCTTCATGATTTTAGATTTGCCAATCAATTCTTGGATATGACACCAGAAGCATAAACTATGAAGGAGACGATAGATAAATTGGGCTTCATGAAAGTTAAAAACATCTGTACATTAAAGGATATTACCAAGAGGTGCTGAAACCATACAGGCACAAACAGTCCCAAAGCACTATTCATAATAGCAGAAGGAAGAAATAGCCCAAATGTATATCAATGAGTGAGTGGATACAAAGTTGGGATACAATGTTAGTTTGGCTTGGTTCTTAAATGTCCCCCAACTGCCTGTTGCCAAAGGCTTGTTCACTGGCCTGTAGCACTGTTGAGAGGTGGTAGAGCCATTAGGAGGTAGGGCTTGTGGGAATGAAGTTAGGTCATTGAGCAAATGTCCTTGAAGGGCATTTCAGTACTCTGGTCACTCCTTTGTCTTTTCACTTCCCAGCCACCATTAGGAGAGTAGGCTCTCCTAGTGATTCGTTTGTTGTTGGGACAAAGAACCCAACGCTCACAAGCTAAAGGAGGAAAGGATTATTTTAGCTCACCATGTGTAGATGTTTCAGTCCATCGTCAGCTGTATCCAAAGCAGGGGGGTGTGGCAGAGGGTCATCAGACAGGAGAAACAGTCCATGGCAGGGCGGGCAGGAAAGAGGAAGCAGCAACAGCAACAATTCTGTCTTTACCTTTATTTCATTCAGGCTCCAAGCCTATTGGTTGGTGCCACTCACACCCAGGGTGCGTCTTCTGTCTTTAGTAAATCCATGTAGCCTCACCCAGAACTACTCTCCATCAGTAGATTAACTCAGTTATCACACATCCGTAATCCATGTTTACGCACCCTAGATCCAGCCACCTCTGAAAATCCCACCTGTAAGTGTATGAGGCTTTGGGGGATGTCTACGCCCAAGATATAACATAGGCTTTCTCTAATGCTCACATGCTTCCTGCCTTGACATACTGTATTCCCACAGATCCAAAGCAACAGAGCAGATGGTTATGTACGGCAACTACTGAAACAATGAGCCAAAATAACCCTTTTCCTCTTATAAGTTTACGTTTTTGCTATAGCAACAGAAGCTGTAATAAGTATACCTTTACAATAGACTACTGTGGAATGGTGTATTGATATATGCTGGGTAGATGAAGCTTAAAAGCATTTTGTGAAGTAATAGAAGTCAAACAAAAGAGATCGCATATTGTATGATACATTATGTCCATACGAAATGTCCATATGAAATGTCCAGTCTAGGTAAATCCACACAGAATGCAGGGGTTGGGGAAGGGAAGTGGGCTGCTGCCAGTGGGCACAGGGTTTCCCTTTCAGGTGAGGACAGTGCTTTGAAATTAGGCAGAGGTGGTAGGTGCACGATATTGTGTATATGCTAAATGCCACTAAACTGTTCACTTTGAAATGGTAAATTTTATGTTGTGTAAACCTCACCTCAAAAAAAAAAAAAAAAAGATTTACAGTGTAGCAGAGAAAACTATCCCTGGACTTTATTACCAGCCTTTATCACCAAATGGCAAGTGGCAACGGGGTATAAAGGTAGGGAGAGCAGCCCAGGACCACTAGGGGATGGAGACAACTTATCCTACTTGACTGGCTGAGGGCAAGCTCAGGGGACTTGGGATCCTCCGGGGGTTGGACTTCTAATGGCCGAGAGTTGACCAGCCCTCTGGACACTTTTCAGTTGCTCAGATGAGGGCAACCATAGGTTCTGTCCACTAATTGAGTGCTTTTTAACAAATCATGTTTCAGGCTTTGGTCATGGTAAGCAATTCATAGCCCTGCATGTCTGTCAAAGCCCTTGATGACTGCTGCTGAATTGAAGTAACAGAAGCCAGTAAAACTGTGACATTCCCTCCAGCTACCAGGACCACAGCCTCTGCTTAGTGATGTGGACCGGGATTCACAGCATCCATCTTGCTGAAGGCCCCAGACCCACTCTATCTTGCCTACTAGCTGAAGTGAGCACAAAGCCCAACTGGCTTTGGAACCATCTCTCCATCTGGGACTGATCCAAAGTGACAGTCTCTGTAACCTCTGACCTCTCCACTGGACTGAGACATCCTCAAAGGCAGCCTGTGTCTTCCTCTTTTCTTGTGTGTGGAAATGCTGGCACACAGAGGCTGCTTGGTAATTGTCAAGTGAACCACTGAATGCAAAAGAAGAGGACAACCACAGCATCTATGGACTGTCTTCTGCACTCACCTGCCTTTTCCTGTGTCTCTTCCCTGCAACTCTCCCTTGGCCATGATTTTCCCATTTTCTGATTTTAAGAGTCTTTTCTCTCCTTTTGTTCTAAACCCAAGGGAGCAGGAGGCTTTAACTGATCTATCTGTGTTTATTGGTAGGGAAAGTCTCACTGAAATAGATTTTCTGGGACCTTGAGGGATCACTCTACCCCTACTCTTGCCTTTGGAAAAGGACATTCTATTAGGCCCAACTCTTATTCTTTCATGGTCTCTGAGGTGTTGAGCTAGTGAATGA